TCAATTTTATTTATAAAGCCCAATATCACAAATCACAATTTGCCTCACAGGGCTTTACAGCATACGACATCCCTCTGTCCTTATGACCCTCACAGCTGATCAGGAAAAACTCCCCAAAAAACCCTTTAACGGGGAAAAAACGGTAGAAACCTCAGGAAGAGCAACTGAGGAGGGATCCCTCTTCCAGGACGGACAGACGTGCAATAGATGTCGTACAGAACAGATCAGCATAATAAATTAACAGTAATCCGAATGTGCAGGTTCACATTCATACTGCACGCAGCAACATGCCTCATTTCAGCTGAAATTTAATTAAAATTCAGAGTCAGAAAACTTTATTTATCCCGCAGTGGGGCAATTCTGTTTACAGTTGACAACAACATGTATCACAACAAACACACACAACACATTCCCAGCAACAAGATTACAATAAAAGAAAATTATATTCAGGCTGTCAGTGGCATTGGCTCTACATTCATAGTTGTTCAGCAATGTAATAGCTGAAGGAAAGGAGTGTGAGTATCTGTTTGTTTCCCTCAGAGGGGTATAGTAGTGTTGCCCTGAGGGCATTAACACAACATTCTGAGAAAGGATGTGGTCAGGATGTCCAATAATGCTTTTTGCTTTCCTGACCACCTGCCTCATCCACAACGAGGCCAAGTCACTCAACTGGACTCCCATAATCTTGGAGCAGATCTTCACGATTCTGTGCAAACTATTTTTTATCTCTCAGAGGCAACCCATTAAACCAACATATAAAAGAGAATGTTAAAAGACTTTCAATAAAAGATTGATAAAAGAACAAAATATTCCGACAAACATTAAAAGAGTTCCACCTCCACAACGAGTGGATCCTCTGCTGCCCCCTCTTCGCAAGAGTGTTACAGGATAAATTGAGTTGGGAGTCAAAGACTGCACCTAAATATTTGTATGACTCCACTATCTGGACTTGCTGGCCCTGTATAGTGCCTCCCCTTTGCTCCAGCCTGTTCCTCCTGAAGTCAATGATCATTTCTTTAGTCTTTGAAGCATTCAGGTTGAGATAGTTGTCCTCACACCACTGTATAAAGGTAGGTAAGGCACAGCCATGATCTGACTGTCAACCTTGCAAAAGTGTCAACAGTGCTGTATCATCTGAGAATTTGACAAGGAAAGTGTCTGACTGGGATGACTGGGATGAGCTGCAGCTCTCAGTATACATGATAAAAAGTAGTGGGGACAAAACACAGCCCTGTGGAGAACAAGTGTTGGTAACAGTGGTGTGGGATGTTTGCTAATTTACACAGACCCACTGAGCCCTGTCGGTTAAAAAGTTTAAAATCAGGAGTAAGATCTGATCTGGTGAGTTAAAAAGAGAATCCAGTCTGGAAATTAAAATATGAGGCTGCATCTTTTTAAAAGCAGAGGAAAAATCGGCAAATCAAAGTCTTATGTGGCTGTTTGGATTTTCAAGGTGCTTGTACGCTTTATCTAAAATATTATTGCGTCATCGACGCCTTTGTCAGTTTGATATGCAAACTGTAGTGGATCAAGTTTGCCATGAACACCTCATCTATCAAGATCTTTTCCAACCCTTTCATTACAAGGGATGTTAAGTGCTACAGGTCTACAATCTTTCAGATCCCTTGGGTTTTTATTTTTAAGAACAGGTATTATTGCTGATGATTTCCGTAATCTGCGTAGCTGGCAAGTTTCAACACAGATCTGAAAAAGTGATGTAAAAACTAGTTTAGTCACCTGTTCCTGGGATATTGTGATGTCACTCTGAGGGACAAGAGACTTCTTCAAGGGGGAAATATTACCCGAGAAGTTTGACTTTTCAAAACATGAAAAAAAGCAGATTGTTATCATCAACTCCTTTTACAGTTATATGTTGCCTACTGGTTGAAGGATGCCATTAGCTTCATACCCTGCCAGGCTGTTCTAAGGTAACTGCGATTATACTGCTCCTCAACCTTGTTCTTATATTCTACTTTCACCTTTCTTGTTCTGTTCCTGAGCTCTCTGGAGGCCTCTTTATTTACCAGACAATCTTTAGTTACCCAGGGTTTGTTATTTGGGTATATGACAACTCTTTTTGATGGGATGACTGAATTTCCACAGAAAGATATATATATGATGAGACTGTGTCAGTTAGACTGTCTATGTCACCACAAGCCTTGTACAGCTGCTGCCAATCAGTGCACTCCAAGCATGCCTGAAGTGAAGAGATGCTGTCCTCTGTCCAAAACTTAACAGTTCTCTCTTTATGCTCCACGCTTCTGAGTACAGGTTTATACACTGGCATGAGGAAGACACTAGGGATGCACTGAATATTCGGTAACCAAATATATTCGGCCGAATATTGCAAAAAAACACACATTCGGTATTCGGTGGAATAAGTTAAAAGCAAGGCCGAATAATAGCGGCGTGTTTTGATAACGCAATCAAACGACGTGCCGTGACGGGCGGAATAAAATGTCGGCAGTGTGGCGATCCGTCCGTCACGGCACTCGCATTTGCGACTAAAAATAGTTTTGAGCGAGCAAAATAGGCTTAAATCATTCAGCACGCTGTGCGAACAGTCTACAGATTTCAACCAGCAGCAGAAACAAATGGCGAATCCCACCGATTGTGGGTTGAACGGGGGTCACAGACACAGACAGTAATGTATTCCTGTCAGTTACGGCGGCCATCGGCTTACCGGCGACGGAGAAGTCGGCTCCAATAATATCCTCTTCTTGGTGTCATGACTGCCCAAAAGTACCTGAACAGCCGAGCCAGCCAAACACAGGTATGTGACGTGTCAGAGGAGAAACGAGCCGTTCACGGTCCACAAACCTCACCGCACTTTAGGGACTATTCTTTACTTATGAAGGGACTGTTCTTTACTTGTCAGAGGAGGAGGGTGGCTGGTTGACTTTTATTTTATTTATTTATTTTATTTTGATCCCCCCTATGTTCATCACTCATTGATGCTGTTTTTGAAGTATGAATAAGTCAATAAGTAATTTATTCCATTGAAATATCATTGATGTATTATAGAAAAGTGATTTATCTTTTTATGAATGACAAAAGGCACATCTGCCTCATTTTATCTGTGGTATTGTGATACTACTCAGAACCATGATATTTTCATTGGTATTGCATAGTGGGTCCCAATTTTGGTACCGTGACAACACTAATTTCGAGTGGGTTCATCTGCAAAAACTAATGAAAAACTAAACAATGATATTCGGTATTCGGTACTTGGTATTCAGCCAAGCGTTTAATAATATTTGGCTTCGGCTTCGGCCACAAATTTTCATTTCGGTGCATCCCTAGAAGACACTATAGTGGAAAGAATCCCCACACGCGGGCATAGGGAAGGATTTATACGCTCAGCCTACTGAACCATAGCAGAGGTCAATAGTCGTTTTCCCCTGTGTGGTGGCACAAGTCACATACTGTTGGTATGATCTCAGTGTTTTCCTCAGACCACACCTATTGAAATCCCCAAGAATGAATTTCGGTGCATCCGGGCATGTAGAATCCAATCTGCATGTGACATCATCAATCAGCTGAGCAGCTTGTTAAGGGGAGCTCCTTGGTGTGCGGATCTTCCTCATTTTCTTGTAGATGTTGTTTTATTAACTTAAAAGTGAAGTGCATCATTTCTGTCAGATAATCAGCAAGGTTCACTGTGCCCCACATTTCAGAGGCAGTTTATTTATTTTAGATGTTATTTTAGTGGTTAACTTTTGACTGAGTTGCCGTCATGTTCACATTCATACCGCACGGCACAAAGTGTCTTGTACTTCAGTAGCATTTAAAATCCAACATGGTTGTTGAAGATTGTGATTAAAGGCTTCAAAGGGCTCTGAATGCACACAATATTTTTGGGACAATTTTTCAGATACTTAACAATAAATTGTGCTAAATTTTTTATTTTTAGACTAGTCGACTAGTCTTAATTAAAATTTTTGTTTAGTTGACAGGGAAATTATTTGTCAGGAACATCCCTACCAGTAACCAGAGGAGTCTGTCTGGTGTTGTTAAAAGCTGAGTTTTAGTCATTTTTAATTGACTCCATTCATCGTATTTTAGTCGTCAGTTGTCTGAAGCTGTGACCGTGATGCTGGACTAAAGGCCTGAGACCCTGTTAGTTCCTGCTGCTGGCTTATTTGTGATTCATGAGGAGTAAACATTGTTTGTTTGTTGTTTACCTGTGTGTTGACAGAACGGACAGACTCCTCTCATGCTGGCGGCAGAGCAAGGCAGTCTGGAGATCGTCCAGGAGCTCATCAGGAGAGGAGCCAACGTTAACTTGGACGATGTGGTGAGTTTCGGTCTCTGAACTCAGGTGCTGCAGTTGCTAGGAGACAGTCTGTGTTAATGGCTCGTTTCTATGGTAACCCCGTCTGTGTGTGTGTGTTGTCAGGACTGCTGGTCGGCTCTGATCTCTGCAGCTAAAGAAGGTCATGTGGAGGTGGTGAAGGAGCTGCTGGAGAACAGCGCCTACATCGAGCACAGAGACATGGTGAGACGACACAAACACTGCTGAGACTCATGGGACATGTAGTCTATATCATGATCAGTTAACACAGGTACCCTGACGACAGTTGACGAGACGATGTCGTGTGTAATCAACTCTTTGTCCTGAAAATTAACTGAAGAAGATGAATTCTTTAATCAGACAGAAACAGGTTCAGTTTAACATCTGTCAGTTTGTCACAGGAAGGAAGGATGCTGTCATGTGATGTCATGTTATGCCATGTGTTTACAGAATAAACAGATGTTATAAACAGCCATAAACACATGTACTGACTGACTGTGTGATGTCACGCTGTGTGTGTCAGGGAGGCTGGACAGCTCTGATGTGGGCGGCTTACAAAGGTCGTGTAGACGTCACCGAGCTGCTGCTGGAGCACGGAGCCAACCCCAACACTACAGGACAGGTAACACACACACACACACACACACACACACACACACACACTCTCATGTAGATTTGTTACTATCATACAACCCAGTCACTGTGAGCTCAGTGATGAAACTTCTCTCTGACGGTGTTAACTGAGAATAAACATCACAGGTTTATAACAGCAGGCTGTAAACCAGAGCAGGGGTTCCTAATAAAGTGACCACTGAGTGTAAAAGGACACGTCCTGTCTCTGTCCATCTGCCTGTCTGTCCCACAGCAATACAGCGTGTACCCCATCATCTGGGCTGCAGGTCGAGGACACGCCGACATCGTCAAACTGCTGCTGCAGAACGGAGCCAAAGTCAACTGTTCTGACAAGGTGATGACCACCTGTGACATCACACAACAATAATCAAGTAAACAATAAATAACAAACAATAAACAATGCTCCTGTGTGTGTGTGTGTGTGTGTGTGTGTGTGAGACAGTACGGGACCACTCCTCTCATCTGGGCGTCCAGGAAAGGACACTTTGACTGTGTGATGCACCTGCTGGAGAATGGAGCCGACGTCGACCAGGAGGGGGCGGTACGACCACACCTGTATATTATTACCTGTATCAGTGCTGCCATACTGTTTACTATATTTATATACTGGTATCTGTTTGGATATCAGTATAGATCCAAACAGATACAAACACCCTGTCATGTGGAGATGACTGATAAAGGTGTGTGTCTGTGTCTGTGTGTGTGTGTGTGTGTGTCAGAACTCGATGACGGCGCTGATTGTGGCGGTGAGAGGCGGCTACACTGAGGTGGTGAAGGAGCTGCTCAAGAGGAACCCCAACGTCAACATGACCGACAAAGACGGGAACACGGCGCTGATGATTGCCGCCAAGGAGGGTTACACGGAGATCGTCCAGGACTTGCTGGATGCCGGGACCTACGTCAACATCCCAGACCGGGTGAGCCTGTGTTACACAGCATGACGACAGGGGCGAGACGTGAGGCGTCACATGTCACAATGTGTGATGTGGAGATGTTTTAGAAATATGTTTTGCTGCTGAAGAAGAATCAGAGTTAACAGTTTGACTTCCTGTTGTTTGAGCTCCACGCTGAGTCTTTCACCTGCAGAGTAACACACACAGGTGTGCTCACACTGTCACCTTCGCCTGGGGACAACCAGCAACATTCAGTCTGTGTGTGTGTGTGTGTGTGTGTTACAGAGCGGTGACACGGTGCTGATTGGAGCAGTGAGGGGCGGTCATGTGGAGATCGTCAGAGCTCTGCTGCATAAATATGCCGACATAGACATTAGAGGACAGGTGAGAACACAGTGATGAAACATGTGTGGTGTCACTGTTAGTAACAGAGGTCTTGTCAGGACTGATGACGGGACAGTGACGGGACAGTGATGATGTCAGCTGACGTCACTCTGCTGTTTCCAGGAAAATAAAACTGCTCTGTACTGGGCCGTGGAGAAAGGAAACGCTACCATGGTCAGAGACATCCTGCAGTGTAACCCCGAAACTGAGACCTGCACCAAGGTGAGACACCTGAACACATTTGAACACAGCTGAACACACTTGAACACACCTGAACACACCTAAACACACCTGAACACATCTGAACACATCTGAACACACTTGAACACAGCTGAACACACCTGAACACACCTGAGCACAGCTGAACACACCTGAACACACCTGAACACAGCTGAACACACCTGAACACACCTGAGCACAGCTGAACACACCTGAACACACCTAAAAACACCTGAACACATTTGAACACACCTAAAAACACCTGAACACACTTGAACACACCTGAGCACAGCTGAACACACTTGAACACACCTGAACACACTTGAACACACCTAAACACACCTGAACACACCTGAACACACTTGAACACACCTGAGCACAGCTGAACACACTTGAACACACCTAAAAACACCTGAACACATTTGAACACACCTAAAAACACCTGAACACATTTGAACACAGCTGAACACACATCAACACACTTGAACACACCTAAACACACCTGAACACATTTGAACACATTTGAACACACCTAAACACACATCAACACACTTGAACACATCTAAACACACCTGAACACACCTGAACACATTTGAACACACCTGAACACACCTGAACACACTTGAACACACCAAAACACACCTAAACACATTTGAACACACCTGAACACACCTGAACACACTTGAACACACCAAAACACATTTGAACACACCTAAACACACATCAACACACTTGAACACACCTAAACACACCTGAACACATTTGAACACATTTGAACACACCTAAACACACATTAACACACTTGAACACATCTAAACACACCTGAACACACCTGAACACAGCTGAACACAGCTGAACACACTTGAACACACCTGAATACATCTGAACACACCTGAACACACTTGAACACATTTGAACACAGCTGAACACACCTGAACACACTTGAACACATTTGAACACAGCTGCTGAACACACTTGAACACATTTGAACACACCTGAACACACTTGAACACATTTGAACACAGCTGCTGAACACACTTGAACACATTTGAACACACCTGAACACACTTGAACACATTTGAACACAGCTGAACACAGCTGAACACAGCTGAACACACCTGAACACACTTGAACACATTTGAACACAGCTGAACACACTTGAACACATTTGAACACACCTGAACACAGCTGAACACAGCTGAACACATCTGAACACACTTGAACACACCTGAACACAGCTGAACACACCTGAACACAACACTTGAACACACCTGAACACACCTGAACACAGCTGAACACAGCTGAACACATGTGAACACAGCTGAACACACCTGAGCACAGCTGAACACACCTGAACACACTTGAACACACCTAAAAACACCTGAACACACTTGAACACACCTGAGCACAGCTGAACACACTTGAACACACCTGAACACACTTGAACACACCTAAACACACCTGAACACATCTGAACACACCTGAACACACCTGAACACATTTGAACACAGCTGAACACACCTGAACACATCTGAGCACAGCTGAACACACTTGAACACACTTGAACACACCTAAAAACACCTGAACACATTTGAACACTCCTAAAAACACCTGAACACATTTGAACACACCTAAACACACCTGGACCGACCTGAACACATTTGAACACAGCTGAACACAGCTGAACACACTTGAACACATTTGAACACAGCTGAACACACCTGAACACACCTGAACATATTTGAACACAGCTGAACACACTTGAACACACCTGAAGACACCGGAACACAGCTGAACACAGCTGAACACACTTGAACACACCTGAACACACCTGGACACACCTGAACACATTTGAACACACCTAAACACACCTCAACACACTTCAGCACACCTAAACACACCTGAACACATTTGAACACACCTAAACACACCTGAACACAGCTGAACACAGCTGAACACACTTGAACACACCTGAACACATCTGAACACACTTGAACACATTTGAACACAGCTGCTGAACACACTTGAACACATTTGAACACAGCTGCTGAACACACTTGAACACATTTGAACACATTTGAACACAGCTGCTGAACACACTTGAACACACCTGAACACACTTGAACACATTTGAACACAGCTGAACACACTTGAACACACCTAAACACACCTAAACACATTTGAACACAGCTGAACACACTTTAACACATTTGAACACAGCTGAACACACCTGAACACACTTGAACACACCTAAACACACCTGAACACATCTGAACACACTTGAACACACCTGAACACACCTGAACACATTTGAACACACCTGAACACACCTGAACACAGCTGAACACACTTGAACACACCTGAACACAGCTGAACACACCTGAGCACAGCTGAACACACCTGAACACACCTAAAAACACCTGAACACATTTGAACACACCTAAAAACACCTGAACACACTTGAACACACTTGGACACCCCTAAACACACCTGAACACAGCTGAACACATTTGAACACAGCTGAACACATCTGAACATACTTGAACACACCTGAACACATTTGAACACACCTGAACACACCTGAACACACCTGAGCACAC